ACACAACAGCTCCTGCCACTCATACAGCTCCGGGACGTTGCGCTTCTCGTCGACGGCGCAGCCCACATGAAGCATAGCCTTCTGCAGCGCCGTCATGACGCTCTGGTGCGGGCACTGGTGGCCACACTGCTTGCACGCGTGCTGTAGCCTCGCACCACGTGTTTTTTCCTTCAGCGCCACCATCCTCCTCCTCCTCCTCCTCCTCCTCCTCCTCCTCCTCCTCCTCCTCCTCCTAGTCCTCCTCCTCATCTTCCTCCTCCCATTCCTCCTCCTCCTCCTCCTCGTCCTCCCCATCCTCACCATCCTGATCCTGATCCTGATCCTCCTCCTCCTTCTCCTCCTCCTCCACCTCATCATCATCATCATCATCATCATCATCATCATCATCATCATCATCATCATCATCATCATCATCATCAGCATCATCATCATCATCATCATCATCATCATCATCATCATCATGATCATGATCATGATCATCATCATCATCATCATCATCATCATCATCAGCATCAGCATCAGCATAAGCATCATCATCATCATCAGCAGCATCAGCATCATCATCATCATCATCAGCAGCATCAGCATCATCATCGTCATCATCATCATCATCATCATGAACACCATCATCATCATCATCATCATCATCAGCAGCATCAGCATCAGCATCAGCATCATCATCATCATCATCAATAACCATCATCATCATCATCCTCATCATCATCCTCATCCTCATCCTCATCCTCATCTTCATCCTTATCCTCATCAGCATCGTCATCATCACCATCATCATCGTCATTGTCATCACCAGCATAATCATCATCATCATCATCATCATCATCATCACCATCACCATCACCATCACCATCACCATCATCGTCATCAACTTCATCATCATCCTCATCATCAGCATCGTCATCATCACTATCATCAGGAGCATCATCATCATCATCACCATCACCATCACCATCACCATCATCGTCATCAACTTCATCATCATCCTCATCATCAGCATCGTCATCATCACTATCATCATCAGCATCAGCAACATCAGCATCATCATTATCATTATCGTCACCATCATCATCATAACCATAATCAACATCATCATCGTCATCAGCATCAGCATCAGCAGCATCATCATGTCATCAATTTATCATCATCGTGGCCATAATCATCAACATCATGATCACCAACATCATCACCACCAGCATCAGCATCAGCATCATCATCATCATCATCACATTCATCAGTCGCATCGTCAATATGATCATCATCTACATCATCAGCACTGTAATCATAATCATCGTCATCATGATCATAGTCATCATCACCCGCGCCATCATCGCTAGCATCTCGTCACCACCATCACCATCGCTATCCTCATCATCAGCGACATCATCAGCACCGTCGTTATCATCAGCACTATCGCATTCGTCATCGTCACCATCATCAGCATCATCATCACCATCGTCACCACCAGCATCAGCATCATCAACATAACCATCAGCATCAGCATCGTCATCAGCATCATCATCATCAGCAGCAGCAGCACCAACAGCATCATCATCATCATCATCATCATCATCATCACCATCACCATCACCATCACCATCACCATCACCATCATCATCATCATCATCATCATCATCATCATCATCATCATCATCATCGTGATCCTCTTGCTCGTCGTGATCGTCATCATCCTCATCGTAAATACCAGCAACAATAACAATATACGACTATTCGCTCTGATCTGCTCGCGTGAAATTTTCGAGATGGGCCCTCTTCGTCGTCAAGCGTATCCCCCGTTGGGGTGTATCTTCCTTACCTGCCACGCGTTAGTTGGCGCTGCCCTTACAACACGGGAAGGGATGAGCTAAGGGAAAAAGGGGAGAGAGAGAGAAGGATGGGTCACGACGCAGATTAGCAGGAGCGGAATTAAGAGCAGAAAAACAAGTGGCAGAACCAGACGGGCGGGTCGGGCGGGGCGGGTCGGGGGGAGCGGGCCCAGACGGCGGGGGTCGAGCGGCGGGTCGCTGAAGCGTCCGTCCTGCGTGAATCATGACTCCCAAGTAAGCTGCAAAGAAATCCCAAGCGAGAACGTGATTCCTGAGTTTCGGCGGCGCGGCGTTTCAATACATTGCGCGGACGTGCCACGCGAGAGCGCGATCCCTGGATTAAGTGCGACGGAATCCAGCGCGAGAACGCGATTGTGACGTAAATCCCACCAGCCCTTGGAGCGTAGGTGATTGAAAAATCCGCCGATCCAGCGTGTGAGCTACAAGGAGCCTCAGCAAGAGCTTCAGCTCTGAACCTAAGCAAGAGCTTCAGCTCTGCTTGGGGGGGTTCGCCGGGGTGGCTGGAGGAGGGGGGGGAGCGGTCCCCACCTGGCGTTTTCTTCGCATCCGGACCCCCCCGGGGCTTGGGGGGAGGGGGGGGGGGGCGGTCCCCATCTGGCGTTTTCTTGTAATGATTTGCGCATCCCTAGGGACCCCCG